GGCCGGGTTTAAACCCACCAGCCCCAGTGTATGTGGCTGGTGCCCTACCCACTAGCTTACTGCTGACATTCATTTTTTTTAAATATGTTTGTAGATTGAACAGTCAACCAAATTTCCAGGAATTTTTACAACCTATGTAGTACTGAGAATGAAATGACAAAACAACATTAGTTCTAGAGCTAATACAGTTAAATGAAAGATTATCCAGTAATGTTACCCAGAAAGCAGTAAGGTAGCTATGTCTCTGCCAATTTTTAGTCAGAACAATTTTTTTCTGACAAAAAGAGTACACCACAGCCTCTCCCATTACAGCAAAAAGGGCAACAGCAAAGAAAAAGGATGAGTGCACAGCTATTATATTAGTAAAAGATTACATTGAAAGTTAAGTTCTTTGGATTGCAGATATACAGAGGTAATGAAATGTAGGAAAATAGTAATAAGGTCCTAGATACAAAAATACTACTGTTCCATGGCAGATTTGCAAAGGGTAAGAACCTTCTAAAGGAAGATTAGGACTTGGAAGAAAAGAAATCTAGTGTGGACCAGAACACAGAAGAATGCTGGTTAAAGAGGAAATGGAAATTGACCTCAGTATCCAATTTGCGAAGAATTTGTATTTAAGTTTATATACCTATAAATATGTCAACTATCCATGAAAACACATATTGTTATTTATTTGATTGTTGCTTTTCAAAGTCTTAATGTGAAGAATTTCTTTCCCTAAGTACTGTCAGAATGAGATCCCAGAACTGAAAGGACTCATTTAGTGAGATAATACAACACTGGCCTTCAGCCTCCTGCACATTCTTACAGGGTACACCAAGAATGCAAAGCCCTGGCCATTCTTTGCCTAGCCCTTTATCATGACTGAGTTTCGGGCAAGCAACCTTGAGTGCTAAAGTAAAGGCTCCAGACCGGACAAAGAGCAGTCTTGCATACTACTTCCTATAAAAGCAGTGGAAAATACCAAGTTTAGTGTTGCTGTCTTATAACACAACCTACTGCAAATGCATGCTTCCAAGAGACAAGGGGAACCAGTAGAAACATTCTGATACCCCTGCATCTTGCGCTGAGTTAATAAAATGCTTCCTCTCTGATCCAGAAGGCACATGACTTTCATCAGCAGGGATAAAACAGCTGATGAAACAATTACAACCTAACTATCACCTTCCAAGCATAGTAACATCAAATCATGGAACACACAAACTCTTTGAAACTCTACAATAAAGATCCCAGTGCCCAGAATAGACAGCATAAGATAAATAGCATATCTCATATAATGCATTTGAACATTCAATAATTTCATTTTTTTCCCATAAAACATATAAATTACATTAAAAACCGCACTGAGTCTCACTAAGACATGACTCCTAAGCTATCAGAGGCAAGTGTATAGTCTTTTTCTAACAATTTATTCAGTGTATGCCACTTTATAAAGTGTTGTTAAAATACTATAAGCTCCTAAAGGAGGAAATAGATAAGATGATAACAAGATTGAGGAAAGGAATATGTCCAAGGAAAACCTGGATAGTC